AGAGGAGAGAGAGGAGAGAGAGACGAGAGGAGAGAGAGAGGAGAGGAGAGGGGAGAGAGGAGAGAGAGAGGGGAGAAGAGAGAGGAGAGAGGAAAGAGAGTTGTGACCACAATCTGGCCATAGAAACTGGGCGACACACACAGACCTGGGAGGACAGGCTGCTGAGAGTTCAGTGTGTGTTTAGTGTGGAGTGTTCAGTGTGTGTGTGTTCAGTGTGTCTGCTGGATGGAGATGCATGCTGGCTCTGAACAAGCTCTCTCACGCAGAGCTAATTATTGCTCCTGCTTGTCTCACTATTTGTTCATGAAACCCTGAACAAACTGCAGTGCAGCCCAGTCAGAGCAGCCTGTGGTGATCCTCTGCAGACAGGAGACAGGGGTGCGAGTCGAGCACAACATGAGCCCGCAGTACCTCCAGACACCCTGTCCTGCACAGAGAGCCCAGCCCAGTGAGTCGAGCACAACATGAGCCCGCAGTACCGCCAGACACCCTGTCCTGCACAGAGAGCCCAGCCCAGTGAGTCGAGCACAACATGAGCCCGCAGTACCCCCAGACACCCTGTCCTGCACAGAGAGCCGCCGCCCAGTGCTGGGGCAGTGGATTGGAAACTCTCCCAGTAGTAGGAGCACTGGGAGGGGATGAGAAAACTACATTTTACTCCACTTCCTGGAGATGGTCCTCTACAGCTCGGGTGTGCGAGCTGCTGTCTCTCCTCACTGTCTCTCTCCACTGTCTCTCTCTCCCCACTGTCTCTCTCTCAACTGTCTCTCTCTCCACTGTCTCTTCCTCTCCACTGTCTCTCTCTCCACTGTCGCTGTGCACATATCGGATAGGCATATCGGTTCTCTGTGCACACTCTGGGACCGGACAGGACATCGGTTCTGTGGTGTACAGTTCTGTGTGCTGTTTGTCTGTAACACTCCAGTCCTCGCAGATACCAGATACCAGCTCTGCACAGCCCAGGAAGACTAATTACAGAAGAGAGCTGAGTCCCTGCTCCTGCAAATTAATTTTCCTGTCAAAGCTGAGCTAAGTCTCCTGGGGCGACTCCTGCGCACAGGAGGAGAGAGGGGGGACACTGTCAGGAAGGCACTGGGTCTCCGTCAGGGACAGAAACAACACCTCCAGATGACACGGGGTGACCCCAAAACACAGCCCTGCTCCACAGATTAAGCCCTGGACAGACAGACAGCAGGAAAGAGAGATAGAGAGGCAGAAGGGCACACACAGCAGAAGAGAGATAGAGACAGACAGGCACATAGAGCAGGAGCGAGGGAGAGACAGACAGGTACACACAGAAGGAGAGACAGGGAGATGGAAACTGAGACAGGAGGACAAGAAGAGGAATCAGAGATGGACAAAGACAGAAGATGGACGGGGATCTGACAAACTGATACAAATAGAAAGGTTGCTAGCAGTCGCTAGAAAATAAGAGTAATTGTCGATTGAGCACTACTGAACTTTTTCATTAGGTGAATTCAGCGTGATTCAAAAGCTACGTAGGAATGCAAGTTTAAAGAAAAACACCATTACTTTTACTAGTTTTCAGAAGAATAATAATAGTTCCAAGATCACCGTTTCTCTCGCTCTGTTTCTGCTCATCAGCGGATCGATAGAAGCGATCGATTCCTCGGTCTCCTTCGGCCGCCCTCCAGTCCCGGTCCCGCAGAGCGCTCATTGATCGCGCTGTCCCTAAATTCAATTAGGTCGCTTTTCTGTTTCGCTGCGTTTTAAAAGCTCATCGATAACGGAGATTTGAAACACACGAAGAAAGTCGGCCCGGGCCGAGCGGTTATTAATGCGCTTAATGAGCTCACTTAGACCGGAGACGGGCAGAATCAGACACCCCAGGCAACTTGGAGACTCACCGCTGCTCCCGTTCCGGGTCCAACAAGGCAGCAGGCTGTGGGCTCGGCTATGGGCTCCCCGGCTCGGATCCAATGAGCGGCGAATGTGTATACTGGGACAGTTGGGTCCTGCTTTACAGAACCGCAGTCCAGAGTCCTAGAGCGACAGCGCTGCACCGGGAAATACGGTCCGGGGAGCTCGGAGTGAGGTGACCTGAACTCAGCTCTGCCTCCGGGACCGGGATCCCAGCCCCCTCCGCGGTCCCGAAATGTTTGATCTTCCGGCCGTGTCTGTGTGTCCGTCAGCCGCGGTCCGGAGCGCTGCACCGGCCGGGAGAAGCACGGCGGGTCAGAGAGGCGCTGTGTGGAGCTGGAGAGAGCCTGCAGGTGGAGGAGCTGTGTGTGCGAGGAGAGAGGGAGCGAGAGACAGGAGTAGGGAGAGCGGGCGCTGCAGTGTGTGTGTGTGTGTACTGTGTGTAGTGTGTGTCTGTACTATGTGTCTCTATGGTCTCTGCAGTGTGTTTCTGTGTGTGTCGTATGCACTGTGAGTGTATTGTGTGTGTGTCCAGTACAGAGGGTCTGTTACAGCACCAGTGTAACTGGGTCTCCTGCCCCTATTAGCTCAGTGCTGGAGCACAGGGGGCCATTAGACACACAGTAGGGCTGCAGCCCCAGAGCTTTGATCTGCAACTGAGGCAGCGTCTGCTAATAGGCCTGAGCTCCGGGGGGCATCGCTGTCCTCCTCTTCATCATCATCATCTTCCTGCTGGGGAGACTGAGCTCTGTGTCACACAGGGCATCGCTGTCCTCCTCTTCATCATCACTGGAGCTGTGCTGAGCAGGCAGACAGGGGGGGTGTTACTGGTTCCAGCCCCTCCATGAGTCTCTGAGACATGAGGTCCTGAGGACAGGAGCTCCTCTGTTTCCTCCAGACTGACTATTCCTGTAAAACACGATGTGTCTAAATACGGGGACAGGAGAGCACAGCCGGCACACGGCCGCCCAGCTCTTGCTGTCTCTGTGGGGAGCAGACCTGCACTGGTGCTGTCCACGGGCTGTGTGTCACCTGTACAGCACATCCGGACCAGAACCGTCTGCCCAGCCCACAAGCCCACGGCTCCCACACCTCCCAGAGATCGGGGTGCGCTCTGCTCTGTCCTGAAAAGGTACTCTGAGATCGGGGTGTGCTCTGCTCTGTCCTGAAGAGGTACTCTGAGATCGGGGTGCGCCCTGCTCTGTCCTGAAGAGGTACTCTGAGATCGGGGTGCGCTCTGCTCTGTCCTGAAGAGGTACTCTGAGATCGGGGTGTGCTCTGCTCTGTCCTAAAGCGGGGTGCTCTGAGATCGGGGTGCGCTCTGCTCTGTCCTGAAGAGGTACTCTGAGATCGGGGTGCGCACTGCTCTGTCCTGAAGAGGTACTCTGAGATCGGGGTGTGCACTGCTCTGCCCTGAAGAGGTACTCTGAGATCGGGGTGCGCTCTGCTCTGTCCTGAAGAGGTACTCTGAGATTGGGGTGCACTCTGCTCTGTCCTGAAGTGGGGGGGCTCTGAATTTGCAGGTGAACACCCCCCCAGAGCTCCAGAAGCTTTGAAGAGGTTAATGGGAACAATATTTATAACCTAGCGACCGCGATCGCTCTCAAATGGGCTCAGTACTGAAACAAGAGTGGTCTGGCTCTTCTAAAAAAAAGACTGGAACAGCTTATAGAAGCTGCGTTTAGTAACCAGGCAACGGACAAATTGTCTGATTACCTTTTTGGAGGAGGGGGGACTGGGGGGAGGGATGGGGGCTGGGGCTCGGCTCTAACGTCGTCAAAGCCTTGTTGCTTCTGTAAGTTACTCTATATGCAGTATTCCAGAGTGGGTCTTTTCTCAAGCACTGCCCATGTTCATGTTCTTATCATTTATGATACATTTGTTGAGGGTGGTGTAGCAGTTAGTGCTGATCATGGGTCCTGGTTCCCAGCTTAGCGTTCCTTCCGTATGGAGTTTGCATGTTCTCCCCATGACTGTGTGGGTTTTCTCCTGGTCGGAATGTTTCTTGGCCCTGCCGTTTCACAGCTGTTACATCCCAGGCCTGATTCCAGTCTAAGCTAATGTCTGTGTGGAGGTTGCATGTTCTGTTCAGGGGTTTACCAGGTTTATGCACCTCCTAGGTGAACAGGTGTGTCTGAGTTGTCTCCCAACCTGAGCCCCTCACAGCTCACTGTGGTCAGACTGCTTTGGACTAAGATAGGTACAGATAGGTGGATGACAAGGCAAAACAAGTAACTTTAAAACTTAACTTTTTGCTGATTCATTTGATATTGTAACACAAATGCTAATTTATTTGGTATCTTAATGGTAAGGTAGACAGAGGTAGAGTGAACGGTAACACACTGTGTTAAGACCACAGCTGCAGTTTCAGCGTCTGTCCTGCAGAGCGGCGCCTGCTCTCCCACTCTCGGTCAGAATGACAGCATGAGTCATGTCCAGCGTTACAGGGGTGACTTATCCTGACTCAACACGGAGAACGATTCTTTCTTGTCTCCCAGCGCATGCTTGTGAAATAATAAGTAGGAGTTTCAGAAGCTGCTCCCCTGGTGATCCTGCAGTACAGAGCGGAGGTCAGGAGTTTTATGCACGAAGAGCTGGCAGCTCTGGTAAAAGATTTAAGATTCCCCACGGCCGAGCGGCAGTCCCTCCCTCACTGTCTGTGTGATCTTCAATCACCGTGACGCACAGTAAATACAGCAGCACTAGTGACTGCAGAGCAGCCCTGTCCAGGGGTCGTGTCCGTCTGTGTGCCTGCGAGCCTGCATCCCTCACACTCTCCCTCAGAGTCACACTCAACCAGCTGATCAATTACAGCAACGCCATGGCCTTTAGAACTATATCACAATATTATCATCTGGAAGACAGCCTCAGCGTCCCTCAGGATGTGACAGGAGATCACATACTTGCCTGCAGCTCAGCTGAGTCTCCTCACCCCTCCTGCAGTTGGAAGTGTGGAAATTCTGGGATTAGATTAGTTATCTGATAATAATAATAATAATAATAATAATTGCTTACACTTATATAGCGCTTTTCTGGACACTCCACTCAAAGCGCTTTACAGGTAATGGGGATCCCCTCCACCACCACCCATGTGCAGCATCCACCTGGATGATGCGACGGCAGCCATAGTGCGCCAGAACACTCACCACACATCAGCTCTCAGTGGGGAGGAGAGCAGAGTAATGTAGCCAATTCATAGAGGGGGATTATTAGGAGGCCATGATTGGTAAGGGCCAGAGGGAAATTTGGCCAGGACACCAGGGCTACACCCCTACTCTTTCCGAGAGACGCCCTGGGATTTTTAATGACCACAGAGAGTCAGGACCTTGGTTTTATGTCTCATCCAAAGAACAGCGCCTGTTTACAGTATACTGTCCCCGTCACTATACTGGGGCATTAGGACCCACATGGACCGCAGGGTGAGCGCCACCCTGCTGGCCCCACTAACACCTCTTCCAGCAGCAACCTTAGTTTTTCCCAGGAGTCTCCCATCCAGGTACTGACCAGGCTCACACCTGCTGAGCTCCAGTGGGCTGCCAGCTGTGAGTTGCAGGGTGATGTGGCTGCTGGATCTTAGGGAAGAATGTTTGTATAAAACGTATTTCTTGCAGTGCAGCAGAAAGTGCATCTCTGGTTTCCATGCCCAGGCTGTGGTCACTCTGTGCAGCCAGGTCTCCAATGTCTGTGTCCAGGCTGTGGTCACTGAGTCTGTCCTCTCTGGGCAGCCAGGTCTGCCTGTGCTCAGGCTGTGGTCACTGAGCCTGTCCTCTCTGGTCAGCCACGTCTGCCCGTGTCCAGTGTCTGTGTCCAGGCTGTGGTGCTGCCTCTGACAACAGCCAGGTATCTGATTGCTCGGTTTTCTCACTCCAACCTCTCTCTCTCCCCCCTGACCACTCTGCGCAGGAGAGATAAGGAGCTAAATGATTAATCTGAACTGCACAAACCCAGGCAGCCTCCCTCTCTCAGTCTGCACTGCTGCTCCTCACACACAGAGACACACACATAGAGATGGACACAGACACACAGAGAGACACACAGAGAAAAAGCAGAGAAAAGGAGGGGAGCTGGGGGGAGCTCAGGGGCGAAAGAAAGAAACGGATTTCTAATTATACTCCCCCTTAAAGATGACAATTGTTTCTTCTTGTCAGGTGTCTGGCAAGGAAGCAGAATCTAGCAGAAGAAAGCATGCGAGAGGGAGGCAGATCAGCACACGTCCTGCACACAGAGCTCTGTGAGCACGGCGGCGGCTCTCCCTGGGCTCCTGTCTCTGCGGTCCAGTCACAGTGGAGCGACTCACCACACTCAGAGCTCCCCTGCAGATGGCGATGCAGAGAGCTGGTGGCAGGGTGTCACAGATCACGTCTCACCCACTCAGTACTGAAGGTTGAATTAACCCCTAATGCAGCTTCACAGATCCTTTGTCCTGATCCTTCCTGATCCCTGAATCTGAAAGCCGGATCCCTGCTTGCAGGCACCCTCGTATCTATTTTGCAATGAGGTAGTACGGGCAGGGGGAAGGGAGGGGAGAAAATAATCTGAAGAAAATAACCTGCAACCTTTTTATTTGAAAGTCATGGAGCCATCCTGCCACCTGCCGGCGAGAGCTAGACACTGCAGTTTCCGCCTGCCGTGCAGGACTATGGCCACAAGAGGGACACCAACCATCCAGCCAGCGGGGACGCGCTTCTTAATGACGTCACGCAAGTCTCCTATCTGCCGAGCGGGGAGGGGCGGGGCCGGGCGGCCTGATTGACAGCCTGGGAGAAAGTTGTCCGAACTTTACCCTGAGTCCGGAGCGGCGGGGATCGGCCGGGAAATACAGCCGCTCCGACAATAAATGGAGGCCGAGGAGCCGGACTCGACAGGAGCGGAGGCACTACAAGGTACAGACGATTCACCCTGTTTCCACAGTTCTGTTTTTTATACATACTTCATTGCGCCGCACAGCGGCAGGAGAGCTCTTCCATCTGGAAGTCGGTCGTGTGACGTCCTTAATTCTCCGGGGCTGGACAGACGGGGGCAGGCGCTGCGAGAGGACAGAGGACAGAGGACAGAGAGAGACAGCCGCTCTCACTTACATTCAGTAACATCATTTTAATGTCTATGTTTTGCTAATTCATTGCAATTGCTTTGGCAACACGCGGAATTAGTCTGTCATGCCGACGCAGCTCAGTGAGTTTTAATTTTTACGATGAAGCGGCGCCCCCTGCCGGCGCATGCGCTGGGCTGCCCTGAGTCCCGTCCTGCTCGGTGCTGCTCGGTGCTGCTGGGCTCACGGCAGGACAGGAGTTCGGCACAAGGCCCGGCTTTGTTACCACAAGTTTCAAAACTAGAGGCACTGTTCTCATGTGACACTAACTTCCTGTCCCCCTGTCCCTGTCTCTGTGACGGTCTGTCTCCCTGCCTAGACTCCTCTCTTGGTGGGGTGGGAGGAGTGTCTCCAGCAGAGGGGCTGGTCCCACCCAGTTCGGAGGCGGTGATTGGTCGGCTGCTCGGCGAACCAGGTCGCTTTGCCTACGCGGCTCTGTGTGCGGTGTCACTGGCCCAGCTGTTCCCGGGGTC